TATGTTAACTCCGAGTTTAGAGGCCATACTGCCTGGGTTTGTATTCCAGCTCTGTTGCTCATTGGCTGGAGACCTTGGACAGATTACCTCACCTATCTGTCCTCCATTTCGTCATCTGAGTAATGGGTTATTGATAGTACCTAACTCATAAGGTCATTGTGAAGATTAAATGAGTGATCTAATGTTACATGCATTAGCTGTGATTGTTACTATTAATATTACTTGATAAAAGCAATGAAGACTTTTTTTTAGAAAAAGAAAGAGTGTATTTATTTCTCCTCTATCCACTCAAAATATATCTTGACCATCAGTGGCATTGTTGAGACAGCATTCTGGGTAAGCAGCACAAGGCATTACACAGCCAGCATTTGACCGTGAAAATATCCACCCTTTTTATTTCTATCTCTAGGAATGTTTGATGCACAGTCAGAACAGAGTAACACTGTGTGAGCTAAAAGTTCCAGATAAAAAGCAATTCTGTTTGGTGTGAGCAAGGCCAGCCTCTTCATTGGGTAGCGTGCTTCTTGTATATCTCCAGGAACTCCGCCACGTCTTCCGGAGACCCCAGGATGATTGGCGCCCTCTGGTGGATGTCAGTGGGAACAATGTCCAACACGGCTTCCTTCCCCGTTGTGGCCAGCCCTCCGGCCTTCTCCATGACGTAGGCCATTGGGTTGCACTCATACAGTAGCCTCAGCTGGAAGACAAGAGCAGCATCCTCACACCAGCACATATGACATAGAAAAGAGAGCTGTTCCATAGCAAAGAGCGCAGAGCTGATCCAAGGTAACAATTTCCCTTTCCTTCCATGAGGCTGTAAAAGCTCCGCCACAAGGCTGCATCAAACACCAAAAGATTAATTTAACCATTTGGGTAAATGAAGCCATTCATCCAGCTGGAGCCAGCCACAGATTGCCTGATGCGAATGTGAGGCAGACCACCTGGACTCCGGACCGAATGACGTTTTGGCAGAACCGATGGTTCCCTTCTCTTTAGGGCACAGACACTGGACCTCATGAGTGACTCTCTGTGTGTTTTGGATGGAGCTTTGCCTATTCGGAAAGCCTTTCAGAGTCCATGGTAGTGTCTGGCTGCAGACATCTGGAAAGCAGACTGGCTCCTCCAAACAGTACAATATTGTTTGTAACTCCGTACACATTCCTTTTACAATCCTCCCAAGGCTTGAGGGTTGGGATTTAGCATGTTATACGTCTTGGCGTTTACTTTTAAATATTAACTTTTTTTGACTGTATGCATTTTCATACAGTCTGCCTACTGAGTAGACAACTTTTTGCAGGTGTTTCCTGACTCTATTTCCATACAGCTGTCATGGCAAGATTTACAAAACTGAAAAAAAAGGGGGGGGGATTGGGAGGAACCTCAATATTTGTGTTAAGGAACAATTTTTTTGAGGTGCTAGAGAGAAGTGCTATCAAGCAAGCTAATCACATAAGTTGGGATGCCTCAAGTTGCAATGGTAGGAGTGGCTTTTTAAGTAAATAAGAATGTCTTCAGTGCCCTGGACGCCACGTGCCATGAACAGAGATCTGACCATTCCGAAATAAATCGATTTCAAACTGTTTTAAGGGGATTATTGTTCCTAGTCCTTCTCTCAGATTAAAAAAATAAGACAATCTACTCATTGGGGAAAATGAAGGAGTAGTGTAGAAAAAAGTGGGGTGTCCCTTAGCCGGCATAAGCAAGTGCAGCCCACTCCATGATTCACGGGAGCGCGGCGGGCATGAGACCAGGGCATCACTGATGGTTTACCTGAAAGCTCTAGGTTTCCCCCAGAGGTTCCTTCCTTCCCTAGAAAGGTATCATTTTCCAAGCAGCAAATGTCAGCTCACTAGTTGTTTCAATTTTATGCCTTTTGAAAGCAATCAAAGAAAACCTCTGTTTGGAGTACATCTGTGATTTGCTGCCTTAGTAATGAGGCTGGACGATTTCATTTCACTTTATGAATGGAGTTCATTTTGCCCAAGCCGAACCATGTATTCACTGGAAGCACCAAGTACTTTCAGTCCCCTCTGATCGTAACACCATGACTTATCTGGAGCAGTGAGTCCCAAGAGACCATTTTTTAAGCTGATTTCACCTGGCTTTGTAACCAGGACAGCCTTTAATCTAGATAAGACTGTGCCCCAGACATCCTTGGCACCCTCCTGCGGAGAGCAACCGCTATCATGACCTTCCTTTCTTCCTGAGTCAGATCCCCTAGGCTGCAAATGAAATCCACTGCTTCTCAACCACTCTTTGGGGTATTTACTTACCTTCCCATTGGGGCTCTTCTTGTTGGCGGGGTACAGGAAGATCCCTCCGTAGACCAGGGTGCGGTGCACATCGGCCACCATGGAGCCCACGTACCTGGCCCCATAGGGGGCTGAGTTGTCCTGCATGGCGAAGAGCAGCAACAGTTAGGGTTGCAGAAAAGAAAGGGCATCTTCTTTGTGTCCTCTACGCGTATTTGAGTCAACAATCAAACAGAGCACCTACGAGGCTTGTCTTTGGGGCTGTGCTAGGCAATGTGATGAAAATCCTGTTCCCAAGAAGCAGAAAATGGAACGGAGGCAGCCTCTTAGACGTCTTACAGAAGCTCAGATCACCCGAGGAGGCCCCAGGGAAGGTGTGGTGGATTCTGTCTGCGGGGTTGGGGCAGGCATTCAGCAGGACCTCGCAGGATGAGAAGGTCTTTGCTGAGCTAAGCAGCTGGGCAAGGGTGGAGTTCTCATCTCGCAGGAGCAGGATCTACCCCCCCCCCGCCGCCCTGTCAAGGTTGGGCAGCAGAGAGAAGCGCTGCCGTCTGCCTTGGGCCTGGTGCCCTAGGCTAAGCACAGGGCTGGGGCGGGAGGGGATCCTGGGTAAAGCTGCAGGGCAAATCGTAAAGCTGGAGAAAGGGACTGGGGCCAGTTTGGAGGACCCTGGATGTCACACTAACAACATTTGGGCTTCCTCCTCAGAGTCCAGCAGTTTTCAAAGGTGTTTAAGCAAGGGTAGGAAAAAGTTGGATATTCCCACATAGAACCAGCTCTATTGTGAATGAAAAATATTGCCAGTCAATAAACAAAGGATGCTGTGACCATCTAGTCATCAGCTCCTACCGCCACCCCGGACAGTGAGCGGAGGGAACTCAGGATGCAGACAAGCAGGCAGCCTGGCCTCTGCAGCCACCCCCAGCGGTGCCCCCTGAGGGAACACAGGATGGGAAAGAGCAGGGTACTGGCCCTAGATAGCCAGGTGCACATCAAAGGAATGATTTCAATGAGCCCAGACCTTTGTACCTTCCCATACATAGAAAAGCGCTAAATTCCTTAAATTCAAATATCTGGTTTTCTTTAATTAACAGTAATCTTTTGATGTTCTGACTACCTGGTATTTGTGGCAAAACTCCTATATATCCTAGCCCCTCCCCTTCCTCTTTGGAACAGTCTCTTAGAGCAATTTGAGAGGCCACTTCCCGGGCTGGAGTCCTCAGAAAGTCCACCGAATAAAACATAATTCTCAATTTATAGGTTGTGCATTTTTTAGCCAGCACTACAAACAGCCATTGCTTCTCTTGTTCAGTGATTTGTAACCTCTTTAGAGAGAGAGCACGATGGACACTCTCAATCTTGAGATGACTGATAGGAATCCGTCAGGTGCCACGAGGCAGGGTCTGGGGGTGCAAGAACTAAGTTTTGTACCAACTGGGATCAGGGACCCCAGGAGTGAAACGTGTCCTGTTGCCATGAACTCATTCACCTGGCTGACTTTACTGCCCTGACTTTTGCCAAAGGAAAGTGGCAAAGGGGTTGATGTCTCAGGGCAGGGGTTCCAGTCCCCAGCACCTGGGTAGGAACTTAACCATGGGGTCAGTGCACAGTGGACTCCAAGCCACTTCCCACTCCCACCTTTGGGCTCCAGGGTAAGTCACGAATCACAAATCACACGTTTCTGTGTATCTCAGGGGCCCCTGGGAGCCCGCACTTACTGGGGGGAACTTCTTCCTCTGGACGTACTCGGTGACGGCAGGCTCGAAGTCCTTGGCGTAGCCCTCATTCAGGCTGTAGATGCTCCCTTTCTTCTTGATCTTCACATCCCTGTCCACCAAGATGAACTCTCCGATGGCCTGTGAGACAGGAAGGAAAGGTGCAGAGGCGATGAGATGCCTCCTCCAGGCCTGGGGTGGGGGTGAGGGGGTGACGGGCTGGGTCGAGGTCGGGGGTGAGGCATAGAGCCTGAGGTCACGCCTGTGCTTCAGCACAAAGAGCTTGCTTTTCGTTTTGCATTTTTTCAACCGAGGTGTAATTGACACGAAACATTTTGTTCATCTCAGGTGTACAACATAGTGATTCAATATTTGTGTATGTTGTGAAATGATTACCCGCAAGGGAGCATCTCCTTGGCTGGGACACCCGTGCCTCGGGAAAAAAATGTTTTTTGGTGCAGACGGGAGCTAGGATATCAGCTGGGTTACACCCAAGTGTTCACGGCTGCTCTCAGCTTTTCATTTTCCGTCTCTGTCTTGATGTCATTTTCCCTTTTGTGTGTTGCCATAGAAAAGAGCAGAACCCTGAGTTTCGAGTCACAGCCTGTGTAACTTCTGGTGCCTTTGCCCACTGATCTGCAGAGAGTTTCTCAGAACCCAACCTCTTACAAATTCTCAGGGCTAAACTGAGGCCTTTAGGGCGTAGGTCCTTCAAAGGAGACTCGAATCTGGGAGGATGGTGTCACAGAACTCCTCCAGCTCTGGACTGAGGATTGTTTTGTGCTCCTCTGCATTGCTGATAAGAGAGTGATTGAGGCTCTGCCCATCTAGGGAGGGAGGCTGCTCCAAGAGGCGAGAGTGAAGAGGAAGGGAACATCTCCCCAGCCATTTACTCCCAGTGCAAAGATTGGTTCCTGCCAATATGGAGCCTGTCGGAACTAGAAAGGAAGGGAGGGAGAGAGAGAGCAGGATAGGGAGGGGAAAGAGACTAGAATTAACAGTGGTCACTGAAAGGCATCATTATGAGTGATTCTTTTTTTTTTCTTATTTTTTTGGTAGAAGTCTGGAAAATGAAGGCATCACACAACAGGTGCTCATGAAGCCATGCTTTGCAGATGCTCCACCCTCCTACTTGGCCAGAGCATCGCAGCGGTGAAGGAGGAAGTCTCCTTATGTAGAGACAAGAGACTGAAAAGCTTTTTGAAAGTAGCACATAAAGCTGTTGTGCTCTTTTTAGCAGAAACTGTCAGCCTGTCCTCCCAGCGAAGCAAAATGAAAAGAAAGCGCTAAGCTGGTCCAAGGTTCGTCCCCCCAGCCCCCGCCCCTGCAGGCATGGGGAGCAGAGGGCTCATGAGATCTGGGGAGGGCGGTGGCCAGCAGGGGAGGATTGCCAACGGCCTGCACGGTCCTTCCAAACACTGAGTGGCTATTCTGTGAGGAGGGCAAAAGGCTATCAAACACAGAAACTTACTCCCGGAGACACGGTCTGCAATCCAGAAACAGAAGAAGAGATTTAATGTTTCCTACATGGCTATCAACCCAAAGCTAACAGAGAAGCCACCAGAATAATGTCTGGGGAAGCGGTCAATGCCTGGCCAGAGGATAAATCTGCAAACGTCAGTGATTCCAGAAACTGTACCCTGGGCTCAGCATGAACTTCGCTCTGGTTCTGCCACGATTTTCCCCTGAAATCACCTCCTTCAGAGGCTTAAACTAGTGCTGCTTCCCTGCCCTTGTTTATTTACTGAGCACTGGTACTTCCAAGGAGGCAAAGTCCAGTTGTGTAAGAGTGCAGGGGACCAAGGCAGCCTACGTCCTGATTTATACAACCTGCCACCTACAAACCCCGAGGTCTCACCGCCAGCAACCTGCCTCTCATAGGATTCCAGCGGCTGCTGGTCCTTGGCGTTCAGTTTGTCAGCAAAAAGCACCGAATAAACAAAGTGTTTTATTAATGTCATCTGAGGCCATTTCTAAACCTGAAAGGTATTTACAAACGCAATTCTTTTTCCCTTGGGACACTGGATCAAAGGCATAAGGTACGTGCTGACCTAGTGAAGACGGTTCCATGGCGTCCACATTCAGTGCTGGGTTTCGTTGGGCTAAATATTTAATGAAATTTCTTTGCTCATTTTATGTGCTCTGTTGAAACTGTTCTCTAACAAAATAAATAAGTAACTCCAGTCAATAGACGTGTAGAAGAAATGACCCACAAATTAGAACTGTTAATGAGGATTTTTTTCATGGTACCTTGGGCTCCTCTCCATAAGGGAGCTTTCCTCTGCAAGGCAGAGTCAGGAATTATCTTCATTTCCTTCTTTATTTTCACTTCCTTGAGTTTATCAGAGCTTTATCAAAACCGCAAGGGTTCACTGCAGGTTTGAGTGTATGTGCATAACATCAAAGAAACTGGGGAGCTAATTGTGGAGCAACGATGCTGTCCGCTGCTTCAGCTGGGACCCCGGTTCACCTCTGGAGAATCATGGATACAGTGGGTGGCAAACAGACCATCTCCAGGCCCGCTCTGGCCCATAAACGTGTTTTGGTTGGCTAGCACAGTGTTTTACAAATTCAGAAACATTACATTTTCTGCAAATCCAGTTCTTAAAACACTGGCAGCCTTGGCGAGACTGAGCCACTCTTCTGAGGAGTAACAACTAATGGACCGCTCCTGGCCCCCCCAGCCCCGCCATTGCCCCAGACGTCCCTCCCCAGCACACGTCACTCAGTTGTGTGGCCTGTTGGCCCGGCCCAGGGAGCATTTCAGTCAGGAGTAATGTCCTTTCTGAAGAATTCATCTTGGAACAAAGACTCCCTCTTTATGCTCTGGACAGACATCATTTCTCACCTTGATGATCTTCTCATAATATACACATTGTCCCTGCATCTCCCTTTCCCCCTTCCCCACCCTGTCATCTCTGTCCCTCCGTGGGCCTCATCTGCCACCTCTAGGTGCCCCCCCCACACCCCACTCACACACACAACGGGCACTCACTCACAGCCACCAGCCGAGCACCTAACCTCCCACGGGGCCTCTCACCGGGTCCAGCATGAAGCAGTTGACTCCGTTCACCATGGCCAGGACCAGCATGGTGGCACTGCCGTAGAGCGCGTAGCCAGCGGCCACCAGGTTCCGGCCTGGCTGCAGGGCGTCCTTCTCAGATGGCTCATCAGTCGAATTCTAGGGATAAGGAAGACAACAAAAGATGTTTTTGTTTTGCTTTGTTCTGTGGTTCTTTTTTCCAGTTCATCCATTAGCAAGATGCATTATCAAGGGGTTCCCTTAATGAAATAGGGCATTTTCCCGGAGGGCCGTCCTCCACACATCAGTGACACCCCGATTATACTAGCACAGCGGCCTTCCCACCAAACCCCAAATTTCCTGCGTCTGGACCCTTCTTTCCAATCAGGGCTCTCCCCCCATTTTACTAATTCGATATCCCCTCATTTCTCCATTATCACTTTCCAACAAGAGCATGCCGCCTTGTCAGCTCGCACTAATTTGATCTCATTACAGGCATCAGTGTCTTTCCCCTGCCTACTCCATCTTTATTTAAACAAATTAAAACTGGGCTGCAGGGCTATGAGTCTGCTGAGGAAATCAATTTCACGAGCTCTTGCCGGTTGCCGCACACAGTCCTGTGAGCAGCGTGGTCCATGCTCACACATCAAAGGGAGTCACAGAAATACGGGAGCTGAGAATATCTCCCCAGCGTCCTTATAGTATAGGGCAAACGCTTTCCATTTTTTTGACCGTGACCCACAGTAAAAAAATACACTTTACGTCACAAACCGGTACCAACACATACACACGTGCACACACAACTACAAGAATTTAACAAAGTAATATTTACACTTAGAACATGACATGTACTCCAATCTTTTCTATGTTTTTCACTTAAAACCCAGCCTATTGGATCATGTGACACACAGTGTGTTCCCTCATACTAAGGAAGGGAACAACACAAGGGCATAGCTCTAATCAATGATCACTAACTGTCAATTACCTTCTTTATTAACACTTGACAAGTCTGTGGTCCTCAAAACAGCTCCAAACAAATCTTTCAAGTTGAAGCCCCTCTATTTGAATTTACATAGAATTGAAAATGGGCAATTTCTGCCGATGTCATACGTTCCTTCCCCCACCAGAGATTCTGGGGCTGAGAGCAAGTGAAGGCATCTGTATCATCATGCTGGACACTGGTCATCTCAGCAAAAACATTCCTGGTAATTTCTTGCTTTAACTTTTGAAAGTGTGGTCCAGAGACTGTGCACATTGGAGTCACTTGAGATGTCTATTTAAAGTGCAATTCTGGGGCTGCAGCCTCGACTTACTGATTCAGACTTTCTAAGATGGCCCTGGGAACCTGTATTTTACCATGCACCATAGGTGACTCTTGTACTGACGTTTAAGAGCTACTTACGTAAAAAGGAAATGTCATATAAAAATTTTTTTCTCTCCCTTTTTTTTCTCTTTATCTCCAATCCCTGTGTTTAATAGTTTTCATCTAGGTGGTTGGTTGATTGGGTTGGGTCAAATTATTTGATTTAGTTTGGTTTGAATTCACAGGGTCGTGCGTTACAGCTAAACACAGACCAAATACACTAGTGAAAATGTGAGTTGCTATCTCAGACTCCAAGTTTTGCCAGTGCTCAACCTTGAGAAAGGAACCAGCTTCCTTCAAAGTCAGGCCTCTGACTTCATAACCACTTAACACTGCAAGTGCAGCACAAAATAAGACAAAGGTAATAGGTAATAAGACAAATAAATTGACTGGAAGCCACCAGAGGCTTAGGGCAGTCAGTTCTCCACCAAGAAAAGTCTCCCAGAGATTCACCTTGCCTAGAACCATCCACGTCTGCCTGTGGCACAAGAGTGAACAGTCTTCACAAGAGTGAAATACTGTCACCAAGTAGTCTCAGCCTCTAGCATTCTCCCATGGAATAAGAAATGGTGACACTATCTGTGATCCCCATAGACAGACAGAACAATTCCATCTAGTCTGGGATTTGGAAGAGTTCTTTTCTAGCCCGATCCCCTTCCTAATGCATGAATTCCCTTCTCCAAACTCCCAGCAATAATGCCTTCGCTCCAAGGGAATCCATTACATTCTCAAATGGACACTCACAGACCAACGCACATAAGTGTTTGGCAAAATTAGAAAGCCTTTGGACCCTACCTTGCTCTGCCTACCCCAGGCCACCACCTGCTGTAGGTAGTGCTTTTTCAATCCATGTCATTCCATAAGAAGTAGGGAAGACGCCATGGATTCTGGAGACTGGAGGTGGTGAAGGACAACGTCGGGCAGAAGTAGGGGGTGCTGTCATGTCATCAGATCTGAGGTCTTCCCTCAGAGGGGCAGCTGACCCTCCTTAGAAGGCCTCACAGGGCATCTGTCAGCATCTCCAGTAACTCAGCCACTATTATCCACTTACTGTTGCACCAGGCAACAGTGGGCAAGAATTACATATCAGAGGAGGCCCCTGCTCTTAAGGAATTTATAAACTGCAGTGAACAGGGTTTGATTTTGCTGGCCAGCACCCGTTACCCTTCTGCTGGTAATTGCACCATAATCTTCCTTAAGAGACTGCCTCCCTTGCCCTCAGCTCCAGGGGTGGGCACATGACCCTGGCCTGGCCAATCAGATCACTGCATGCCTCAAGCCACAGTTGAGAGATGGGTGCATGACCTAAGCCAAGCCAGTCAGAGCCAGTGAGATGATATTCCTGTTGGAATTCTTAGAAAAGAGGCTTGCATCTTCTACTTGAGTTGCTGAAAGAAATGGATGCAATCCCAGACCTACCCAGGGCCACTTTGCCACCAGAGAAGAGGGAGCAATAGAGAGGGAGAGGAAGTGTGTCTTGTTTATGTGGTCTGAGTCTTTAAATGCAGCTGTACCTGAAGCAGACCTACCCACTGGGCTTTCTAGTTATGTGAGCCAATCATTTTCCTTTTCCTTCCTTCCTTCCTTCCATCCTTCCAAGGTAGTGTGAGTTATGATACTGTCTGTTGAATCTTAATACACAAAACAAGGCAATCAATGTTAGTAGCTACCATTTATTGAGCATTTTTTATATGCCAGGCACTATTTTCAATGTGTTATGCTGAATTTTCAGTATCTCCCCTTTGTGGATAAGAAAGCGAGAGACAGAGAGGACACCTTGCCCAAGGTCCCACAGAGCTGGTAAGTGTCAACGCAGAGAAGCTACAATCCATCTGGCTATTATCACGGCTCCCTCTGCCCAGTTAGGGGAAGTGGATTGGATTCTGAAGCTGCTGGAGCACTTTTGAAGCCCTGCTTTTAGTTGTGGGGACTGGATATTTTTAAAGGACGTTGCAAATTAGAATGTATCCAGTAGAGGGTGATCACACTGGAGAGAGGACTAAAAATCATCTCACATGAAAGATGTTTAACTTAAAAAGAATCTTATTTTCTGATGCTCTAAAAGGCCAAATGAGCAATAAGGAGACAGATTTTGACTCAACATTTGGAACACTTTAACCATGATGATCAATCAACATATCGGGAGAATTCTACGTTTCTGGATGTCTCCAGCCCCAGAGGCTGGGTGACCCTTTCAGAGGTGCTGTGGCAGGAACTTCGTGGAACACAGGACCACATGCCCTAAGGGATCTTGTTGGAACCTATTTCCAGGCATCACGGGGGCAAGCCCAGAGCACTGCTGGCGGTTTCCCGTTACTGACTGATGCTGTGCCACTGAGTAGGTGCGCCAGGGAGCTGAATTCCAGCCCAGAAGCATCGCCGCAGGATGCAGGAAAGGTCTCCTTTAAAGCATCAGCCATTTCAATATTTATGCCCCTTAAGCACTCAAATGGTTTCAAACAATCAATAAGGCTTTCAAAGACTGAAATGACTTAAAGGCAGTGTCACACTCATCATCTCTTTAAGTCTTTTAAGAGTCACTTCAGGTTTATTAATAAGAGAGTGGGTTCATTATTGAATCTTTGTAGCATTCGTAATTCAAGCTGCTGTTGCAAGCTGGTTTGCTTTTTTAGTTGATAGCCAGTGTCTCTCAGTTTTCTAGGTTTTTTTTTTTTTTAATTCACCTTAAAAATATTTGAGGGGGTGTTGATGTGGAAACTGGGGCTGGCAAACATTAGTGCTGCTTCAGCTTTGGTTGAATCATTAACCAAAGGTCTTCTTCTGCATGAAGAATTGTGCTACAAGCCTCTCTTGCTGTGCTACATAGACCTGACTTCTGCAGGTAAAATGACAGCCTCTGTGTCTGTAACAGGAAGGGGATGGATGTTTCCCGGTATGACTTGGAAAATGGATTCATTGCTGCCTCTGCCTTTCTGATAGGAGTATTCGAACCTTCTGTTACTCAAATTGATCTGCCTCTCAGCCAAGACAAAAGCAAAATACATTCCAGTGATGAAAGAGAACGGTCCCGTGGTGGTCCTGCTTTCCACGTTTGAAAGGAGATTATGCAATGCAATGCTAGACAACAAGTCACTTAGAAAAATTAAACACAAATTGAGGTCTCGCTTCTTAAGTCATGGTCTCTATATCCCGGAACAGGAGCGTTGGAGGAACCTCGGAGGTCAGCTGAACCAGCCGCCTCGTCCATTATGATGAAGGAAAGGGCTCAGCCTCAAAGGCGTCTGTGACGTTTCTTTTAAAAAATAAATAAGAAGGCTGAGGCCAAGACGACATATTTTAGATTTCATCATGTTTTATGATGCGCCCAGGGGGATGCACTCTGTTTTTAACTTGTCTGTATATTTGAATGCTCTTCCATCACACCCACCCCATCCCCCCACGCCCCCCGCCGCCCCCCACACACTTAAAGTAAAAGAAGGAAAGAGAGACTTTGGAGGTAGAGTTACCTGCCCAGGTCACACAGGTGGAAGAGACTCAGGGCAAGAGTCTGGATTCCCAAGCTGCACCAGTGTGCTTTCCATAAATTTTAATGGCAAACTCTTTCCAGAAACCATCAGATAGTAAATATTCTAGGCTTTGCCGTCATGCAGTTTCTATCACAGCCACTTAACCCTGCCTGGGCA